AGTTTTTTTTTGGGGGGGGGGGGAGGAGATGGTGGTGGTTTATCTGTTATTGCATCAACAGAGAGATGGTGGGTGCGTTCGAATTTCGAATTCTGTCTTCTTTTTAAAATTTTATAATATTAAATGTTTAGTCAAATTGAAAGATAATATTGTTGAGGAGATTGAGGGATTTCGAATTTTGTTCCCTTTTTTATTATTTTATATTAAATGTTTAGTCAAATCGAAGTACAATAGGGTAAAAAGAAAAGAGATTAAGGGATATATTCCCCGATTAAATAAAGTTTTCGATTTTTTTTTTATTTTTTAAGAAAATATAAAAAAGTCTTATATACTTTCATTTAAAATTGGAAATATTTTTAAAAAATAATCTAAAAAATCTAAAACAAAGTTTTATTAAGTAACAAAAATTATTTTCTAAAACATCATTTAATTAGAAAAGGAGAAATAGTTTAACAGCATTGATTGGGGCATTATCCAAAGTACTCTCCTCTTGCTAAAACTACTCATGTACATATCTTTTCTCGAGATGTGACCAGAATAACTGTATGGTCACATGATGATCACAATGGTTATAACGTTAAATTTATGGTGATCACACAAAGTTATCATGATCACACCTTACATATCACACTAATCACTTGGTAAAATCATCAAAATTTTAATGTTGTGACCAATATGATCATCATATGACCATACAGTTATTTTGGTCACATGATCACATCCAAATGAGTTTATGTGCAAAAATAGCTTTAACAAAAAGAAGATATTTTGGATATTTTGCCGTATTGATCAGAGACACGATCGTGTTGTCATAATAAATAAAATAATAAATGCAATGCAATCTTCAATGGATAATTCACATTTTTTACGCGGTTTTCATTAGATTTGTTTGCCTTTTTGTTTAAAAAAACCGTACACATTTGGATTTTCTTAATATTTATTTTTATTAAAAAACTAATGAGTTTGGGAAAAGATTATTTCCATTTAATTTCAAATTCAATTAATTTAATTTAAAAATCCAATCAATTATTTTTTATTTAAATTTTATATAAACAAAATCACGTTACCTCTCTTACCTAATCATTGCTATAAAATATGACAAACATATCCAATTTAGATAGTTTAAAAGGTAAAATGGGATAAATGCGTTTATGAATTCGACCCTCAAATTAGAAAAAGGAGTATATTTTAATAATAATATGTTTTTTTCTCAATCTCGTGATTAGTATAGATCTCGTGATTAGTATAGATCTGGATCCATAACATCTGTTTAATAAAATAAAAATATGGAAAACATGATCATTGTATAACTGTATAGTCTGTTACAAATAAAACGTGAAATAAGAAAATGGAAGCGTTAAAGTTTTCAGGTAATATTCGTATGCGTTGGAAAGTTATACACGATGTTGATACATGGCATGTAACGTAACCGAGTCGAGTGATGGAGAGAAGCTGCATTCTTTTTACTGCCACCAAAGAAAACACAACGTCGTATGCATACAGAACAGTACAGTACACAGATCGTGTGTATCATGATGATGGTGATGATGATGGCAGTACGTAGAAGACAAGGAATTGAAGGTGGTCACGGGGGTACAGGCAAATTAATATTTTTAGGGTCTTAAGAGAGGTGCCATGAATCTTGTGGCCTTTAACAAAAAGCAATGTCCCTCACGTGGAGGAGCCTAGGCAGGCAATCCACCCCCAAAGTCATAAAATCGTTGAATCCTATGCATCTATATTATAAATTTTGAAATTTTCTTAACAACAACACGCTGTCAAATACGTGTTGAATTTGACAGTGTATGAATCTCCAAAGCAAAACCAGATGGAATAAAAACAAAAAAGGATGGATTGAGGACACAAGAAAGGGAGGATTTACAGGTTCTAACAACAAAACAACTTGGCAAGAGTTGTACGATCGTAGTTTTACCATATTATCTGTCCAGACAAACAAAGCAGACAGAAACAGAGGAGCATGCGAACTATAACATGAAACTGAAGTGATGTGACTCACCTTTAGTAATCGAAGGGCCATCCACTGTAACCCATCTGCGGATGCTGATGATGGTGTTGGCGATGGTAATGGTTCTCTTCCTCCACCGTCGATGAGCTGCTCCCCTCTCCTCTGTTGTTACGGACGGAACTAGAGCTGGACGACCGGAACGGCCATAAGTACGAGAAAGGGTTCCTTCTCCCTTGGCTCTCCCTTTCCCTCATTCCCCTTCTCGTGGTCGTCCTGCTTTCACCCTCTCTGCTGCTCGAAGATGATCCTCTCTGTGGCAGCTCTTGTCGACATACCGGGCATGAGTTGTGTTCGACCAGCCACGGGATTATGCAGTCCGGGTGATATATGTGGTTACATGGCATCTGTCTAGCTTCCGATCCCACCTCAAACTCGTCTTTGCAAACCGGGCAGTGTGAGTCTGACCGGATATGCCTTTGTGTGATCTTGATTGTTGGCATTGCATCTATTGCTGATCTAGGTGCCGGTGGTGGGCCTCGGCTAGCGCCAGCTGAGATCTGCTCAAACAGTTCTTCAAGACCAGGCCCGATAAAGTAGTCTCCGGTGTTACCACGAGTGATGCCAATGCCAGGTGATCCACTGAAGAAGGCTTCCAGGGCGTTATTATCTCCAGCCAATCTAAAGGGAACCTGGCCACCGAAAATCAACAAAGGAGCCAGGCTGGGGAAGTTGTCGGAACCTGAGCCGACCCTTCCTCTGAATTCTCTGTCATAGCTCCTTTCAGCTAAGCGGTTCCCAATGAAGGCTGAGAATGCATCCATGAGATCAAATGTTGGTCCGCGCTCTACATCCCTGTTGGGTCTAAACATGTCAAAGGGACTGGTCGGCACCATATCATCAAGTTCTTCAACAAATCCTCCACCGCAGTAGGAACAGACGGGCTCCGGGCCGCGAAGCCGAACAGCTCTTTGGCATCTGTGACAATAATGGGTATTTCGACTACTCGACATCCTCCTCCTTTTTTCCAAAGAAACAGAAAATCCTTTGCTTGAAGCCCTGGGAGCTTTAGCAGCTTTGTTTGATTTCAGATATTAGCCTGAGAAAGCAGAGATTATAGAACTGATACAAAGACAAGACACAATTTTGGCTAACCTGAGCTTAAGAATGTTCCAAGATCTGACGAAAATTCTTGGTCATTAATCAGGAAAAAGATCAAACTTTTGTTCCACACCGACAGGAAGACCAAAAGCCAGTCATGACATCCTCATGGTTTCCCTAAAGACTAGATCCCGATTCTCGGGTTTGAATCTTGACACGCGTAAATGCTACCTAGAAATTATCTTCTTGATATGCAATCATGAAGGTTTCTGCCCTCTCGGAATACCACAAATAGCTTATGAACTATCTAAATTACCTTAAAAAACCTCAACCAAAAAGCTAGGGGACGATCAATATCACCGATTTCAGGAACTCGGAACCTTTATGATGAACCGATCAATCACCTTAAAGCTGTAAACGCTGACTTTAACACGGCGTGTTTCCCGAGGCACAGAGAATCTGAACAGTACATGAAAAGCAAGCAAAACACAGAGACCGATACGAGTACGGGAAATCCAATAGATTCCCAAATACACAGAAACTGTCACGCACCAGATGAACACCCACAATACAGATTATGGGAAACGCATCAGTAGGAGATATCAAGTCCACTAATCAAGAAACAAAAAAAATCCCGAGAGCAGAGTAACAATGCAAAACAATCATTAACTGCAAGAAAAACCAAAGAAAGAAATGAAGAATTCAACGAGAAAAAAAACCCTAGTGAAGCTCAAGCAGATCCAAAGAAAGAAATGAACAAAAAAAAAATTCAATCCAGTGATCCAAATCCAACGAGAAAATTCAATCCGCCGAAAATCGATCAGTAGGTTACCTCTTCATCTGAAATCGTAAGGTGGGAGATCAGATCGGATTGAGATTTGACAACGAAGAGAAACCCTAGTGAAGCTCAAGCAGAAATGGATTTTGTGGGAGAAGACGAAAAGGAGCAATTCTGAGAAATTCTCTCCGTCACTCCAATTTGACGGTGATAAGGAAAAAAACGTTTTTTTCAATCAAAGCAAAATCACCGTAAGAAGAACTTTGGTTGGGTGGTAAAGAAAAGGCGCTGTTTGATCTGTGTACCAACTCACACGTGCCAATGCCATGTGTTATGTTTCACGAACAAGTCACAGCTTTCGCTTTATTTACTATCCTACCACAGACGGACCACCGTGGCAACACTGGCAAGCCATCCGATGCCTTTGACAGGATGTGTAATAAGTAATACGTGTTTTAAAAATAAAAATCGTCACGTACACTCCACTGGGAAACTAAACGAAACAAAATATTTAAATATCAAAACTAACCACTTTGAATTCAGAGATGATAAAGCTCGAATTTTAAACCCAAAAAAAAAAAAGTTTAAAATATGAATTAGCGGGAGAGGGAGAGGGTAATTCACTTAAATATACCAAATGTGTCGCATGAATTTCACAGATACACCCAAGATGAATAGTAATTTTTTTTATTTCAATTTTATACCATTTTTCACTCAAAAAGTCTGAAATAACCTTTTTTCTATATTTTTTACGACTTTATTATAACTGTTATATAACTAATATACGACTAAAAAAAGAAGTATTTATGACCATATAACAACTAAAAATCGTATAATTAATAAGATATATTTTTTGCAACTTCATTTAGAATCAATTACAACTGTATTTAGAATCAATTACAACTGTATTTAGAATCAATTACAACTGTATTTACAATTACACGATTTCATTAAGGGTATTACGGTCTTTTCAAAAAAAAATTAATGTGTTATGTTTTTTTTAGGTGTATCCGTGAAATTCCTGCGACACGTGTGATTTACCCGAGGGAGAGAGAGTATTAAATAAATTACATCAGAAGAAAATATTTTTCTTTTTTCGTGTTAATTTAACATAATCCGTCCAGTCCAGGTTCCAGCCATTCACGCCACCAAGTAAGAACTGTTCAAACTTGCTTTCCACAGCCAAAAAAGGAAAAAAAAAGCATCAACTTATGATACACATACACGAACAACACATGTGACCAAACGCAGAAACAGAACATAGGAACTTCATCTATGCGGAGATGAAATTCCTAGAAACAAACGCGGTGCATCATGATGTGAATGCAAACGTGGCGCGTCAGTTGGTGCTTTAATAATGGGTTACTCCACGCGAGACGAGAGCAATGACTTTGGGAGATGCAGCTGCGTAAGAAGAGGATGAGGAGGAGCGGCCAAGGCCTGGCCGTGGCTGCTGCTGCTGCTGCTGCTAGTGCCGGCGGATGAGCGGTGGAGCCTGCACCGGAACGAGCCCTCGTGCTTGGTGGGGGCGCAGATGCATGGCGCCTTCCCCAGGCGGCTGCTGTTGCTCATCAACGCCAGCGAGTCCGTGGACCACGACTTCCTCATCGTCGATGCTGCTGAGCTGGTGTTTTCTATGCGGCTGAAAGGGTTCTTCTTGCCTTTTGGAGGGTCTCTCCTCGGCTTCTCCTCCGCCATCATTACTTGATTATTTCCTGAATGTAAGAAAGATTATGATGCAAAAATCCACAAAACACATACTTTCGAAGCAAATTCTCTACACCATGGATTGGGAGAATAATAGCACTACAGAAATCAAAACGATTTCATTAGGATCAAGAGATGAAAATGTAAAACCACAGGAAGCAGAAATTGAAATTGTGAGTCTCAGAGGACAGTTGCATACATACCGTACGGAGCTCTTGGACCTGGGATGAGAGAGAACCCAGAAAAATCTGCAAATGAAAACAGCAAAGGGTATATAGACGTGATCACTACCAATTCTCCTGTCTTAACATGTCCATCACCAAATACTAATTATATAAAAACTTGGGTATACCTTGACGCGCGCATACACATGATTCATGAACACGTAATGAGCGCCTAATATTCTATTCTATTACCAATTGCTGACAGGGTCAATCCTTACGTCTTGGAAAAAGATATCCAAATATGTCTTGGGGGCGGCAAAAGATGACTCCCAAGCTTCCCAAAGGGTGTAAGCTTTCAACTTAGCCCCGTCAAAGTGACTCGGTCGCCGGTCAGCAACATCAATTTGGAGCTGCAATATCTACATCAATCTTACACAGATCACCATTCAACAAAAGGGCATAACGTGTCTCAAATTAGGATAGAAGCAAAGATGCGCAGGATACGCAATAAAAGCAATATCTGCCAACATCCTTTTCCATACAGATAATCATCCACATAAATAAGTTCCCATAACAATAACGGTTTCGTCCGAGCTTTTATTCATATGGACACTAGGGACAGGGAAAGCGTGGATACTATAAGCCATCCCTCTTAACAAGGACAGTTGTCGTTAGCCAGGTGGCCAGTTCATCTGGCGGCCTCCAAGGAGATGGACATGGATGTGGTACACCGATTGACCTGCAACACAAGAATTCAATGATGAGTTTGAGTTCCCTATCTTATGTGTCCGTGTTAATGCATCAAATGAGAAAGCTTATATTGAACGAAGAATTAATACATACATCCTTTGGGCCCATCGTTAATCACAATCCTAAAGCCGTCATCCAGGCCTTCTTGCTTTGCGATGAGCTTGGCCGTGTAGAGAAGGCGGCCCAATATATCAATGTGCCTCTCCTCAGCCTGCAGTAGCGGAAAAATGTGCAATAATGAGAAAAAAGGCAAAACAAGAGAAATATTATCTTAATGGAGTTAGTCCCTAAGCTTCTCAAGTTTGAAACTGTTGAGTTCTTTTTACTTTATTTTCATTTTGGCTAGCTTTTGAATGTGGCTCGAAAAGTCCATAGATGACCCAGTCTAAACCATGTTCTAGAGTAGAGAAATGAGAGTCTCAGAACATAAAAAGATATGATGCACCAGCAAAGTACCTTAGAGAGGCCAGATAACCCATCCTTCACTATGGGGATAATGACGATGTGCACAGGAGCCTGGGGTTGAATGTCTCTAAAAGCGAAGACCTGTGAAATCATACAAAGAAACGTAAACAACAAGCCAGGGAAGTAATAATAAAGCATGCACAAAAACTAAAAAATAGTTCATCCTAGAGAAAATAACGCAAATTCATTTAGAAAGGCAATGCTGACATCTTAATCTAGAAAGTAGAAACCATTGGCAAAATAATACAGTCAATACTCCTGACAGTATGCAGTGAATGTAGGACCTACTTTCCTAAAATCGGGGAACCGCATGAGGAAACTTAGACAAACACAAATTACTTGAATGCAGTCTCCTGCTAGCCCTCAGAGTGCAGTAAGAGTGAACCGGCTTTGATGAACCAAATGTACAGCAAAACCATAGCGACAACAAACTATATAGTATATAATAGTTGAGCAGAATCTATCTGGGATAAAGGAAATCACAAAATATAAAAACTTATATTCCATTGTCACGATGCAAAAATTGCACACGGATCAAGCTGATCTGGAGTATCACTACGTGAGGGTGTTTCAGCTGGAGATGGGAATGTGGATACGGTCGTTTCAGTTCCATGAGCATAAATTTGAAAGATAGGATAAAGGAATACATCACTGCCATAACCATACCTTGTCATCCTCATAAACCACAGTAGAAGGTATTTCTTTGTTGATGATCTTGTCAAATCTGCATAATCCAGCATAGACTATGTATAGGTCAACATCAATTCAGAGCAACAATCCAATACAGCTCTATCCAAAAAGACAAAAGTATACAGTAATATCTCAAAATGAATAAACAATATGCAATTCTTCTATCTATAAAAACATCCAGAATCTCCATAATCATTCGCAGAAACATAACAATTCCACCTCTTCATAAAAAGAACAACTTCAGTTCCACCATTGCATTGCTAAGAGACACAATTCCATCCATCCGCATGAGATTGAAGAATCGCGGAGTATGCAATCAGACAAAAAGTTGTTAATGTATAATCCTAAGGACACTGGACTATTTCATTTCGTCCAATAGATTAAACTAATCCTTCCAAAGAACCATTACCGCTTCCACCATTTCAACGGAAGACAATAATAATTACATTGTCTTGGCTGAAAAAAAAACCGTACACCATCTAAGCGATATACTTCACATTTCAAGGACAACCCCACTCCCGATAATGACGGCATTTCGAATATAAGATTCCGATTATCAACAACAGGATACAGAAGGACCGACACTAGAAACAGTTCACTTCTTCTTCCGTTTCGAATTCTAATTTCTAACCAAATCAGAGCTACCACTGATGATCGAATACCCGAAGAAGAACAAATTAAAGCAGACTAATATAGCGTAACAGGAAATGGAAAAGACACAAGTCCGGATCGAAGACAAGGAAACAGAGACATATACACTCACATGGTAAAATCGGAGGGCGTCGCAGCGAGAGCAGCCTCTTTCTCGGAAGCCATGGCGGCGGAGACGTGGATGAGATGGGAGGACAGAACAGCAAGCCGGCTGCTCATCAGAAGCCCTAATTTCAGACCCCTTTTTTTATACACGCCTTTTTTTTTTTTATTGTCCACCAGGTGTCAGACAATTCCCATATCCCGCTAATCCTTTTCTCCAGCCAATGAGACGTTGACACGCTGGCATCGATTGTTCAAGTCGTGCAAAATAACAACCACCATCAAAATTCACGAGTAAAGCCTAAAAACACACAAATTTAGAACAAATAATATTGGCAATATATAACAACTAATAGCATACTAATAAATAATACGTCACCTTAAAGAAATTTGTATACATCTATAAAGTCTATTTTCTTGTTTTTAAAGCCGTCCTATATAGATATTGTAACAATGTTTTAGAGGCAAAATATTAACAGTATATAATTTAATAGGTAATATTTTACTATCATGATATTGATCATGTTATTTGGTTTAAATGAATGTACTTTTAGTTATTTTTCTAAAATTATGTTTAGATTGGGACAATAATTAATACGTTAACACTTGCTTTTGTGCACATTGTTTAGTCTAGTGTTGAAATGTTTTATTTAAGATGGGATGTTATAATTTTATTCCAGTAAACAACACTATTTAGTCTATGAGTTATATATTCACTTTCTGATTTTGCAGAGAATCAAAAAATTATCAGGATCTGATCTCTTCCGTGGCAACTCATGCTGTAGAATCGCAGCGCTCACCTCTGTGCTCAAGGCTACTGTCTCCTTCCCAATTACCCTCTTCTTGGTCAAGATATCTTTCAGAAACTTCGAATAAGAGGATGTCTGCAGCATAGTCTCATAGAACGGTATAGTAATCTCTAGCTTCTGAAGCATATCAGCAAATCTCGAGAACTGTGTATCCTCAACATGCTTCTTCAATCGATAAGAAAAAGGAACGGGTGGTACCTTAGGTGGAGGAGCGACGTATGGCGTTTCGGCTTTCTCTGCATTATCAATTTAATATCAATAAATAATTGTTAGTTCCAAATTCAATGTGTTCGCCAAATGACTCCAAACAAGATCCATATGGGAGTGTACATACATATTTTTCAGCATGTGCATAATTGTTAGACAATACATCGAATGCGTCGCATTAAATTTAATAGGAAAATTATAACCTTTACAATAAATAAATGGTTCAATACTTTAAAGAGGAATTTAAGTGTTGGGCCTTAGGGTTTTGCGGGTAGGTTTGGTGAGAGCTCATGGGATTCCATCCATTCCACGGGGCATAATCATATGCATAAGCATAATTAATGGCTAGAGCTAATCATCATAGTCGTAGATGCCAAATCATTTCCGGACAAAAGGAGGAGTTTAGTGAAAGTCATTATCCACCAAAATTAAATTAATATATTGAAACGAAATATAATATAATACTTTCTAATTAACAAATTGTTTGATGTCTAACCAAACCAAAGTCCGAATAAGCATCTTAGATTAGGGTTTTCACCTATATTGTATCCTAAAAATGCAAAAGGACAAAAAAAAAAAAGTGTGAAAGTGATTATGGTATTCCCTTCTATCCAACGAGCCCGTCCCCTTCTTCTGCATATGAATGTGCCAGTCTGAACCTTTTCCATTATAATAATTTTTAAAAAAAAGGTAGAATTACTTGTTTTTTGAATTATTTAGTAATATATTTACTCGATATTTCATGGAAAATTAAATTGATGTTTTATGAAGTATATAGGATCATAGATGTGGCTAAATTTAGCAGTAGTTTAAAATAGTAAAATTTAATTGATTAACAAAAAATAAAAATCTAACACTCATTTTTTACATGCAGAAAGAAATTAAAATACAAACAGATAGTTTTAGTTTTAAAAAACTAAATTAGTATATGATTCGTATAACGGATGTGTTGCGTATATATATATATATATATATATATGAACCGTATGCATGCAGCATACGTATCTGTGTATTTGGATCTCACGTTTAAAATATTTTATTACAATCCAAAATAATATTGTACGATTCATTGGACGGTTCTTCCTGTTTTAAACTCCGATGTTCGTGACATGACTTTAAAAAAGTACAATGTTATTTATCAATGTTTCGATTTGTTCTAGCTTGGAAGGGAATAATTTTTTTTAACATGTGATATTTTTTATTTATTAAATAATTAATAGAGAGTAATTAAAATATAGATTGACACAGAGACAAACTAAAACCCGACAAAGGAGTTAAGTTAAGTTCCCATGAAGGAAATCTTCACGTTTACGCTTTGATGGTTTTCATGTCAAGGGCTGCTTTTTTCATCTCAATGATTTCACCAAATCTATTACCGTGACAACATGCCTAACATTTTTTTGGTTGTTTGCATGTCATCTTCTATGATTTAAAAAAAATAAAAAAAAAAAATATTCTTGTCGTTTTCTCTAAAATTATTATAATTCCACCAAATTTAGAAATCGATAATCCTAAAACTTCCCTACAATTTTAAATCATGTTTTGGTTTAGGAGTTCGATTGTATTCTAAAAACGTATATTCTTAATATATATTCCCATGTTATCACATCTCGAATCATAATAGAAATAACTAGACCCACAACACAGACGCATGTCACGTACGGATGTTATCATATGGTTGTATACGCATGTCACATTCGATATATGTGTTTATATTCATTTTAACAAAAAAAAATCATATACATATATTATGGTCAACCATATATATATAATAAAAAAACACTATGATAGACACTTGTATGTTACAATAAAAGGCTCGTTTCTAGCTAAATCAATAAAAGTATGCATTTATGAGCCTAACAATTTTGTATAGTAGGCACAACAACAAGCCTAGGGTGATAATATAATATCCATCAAAACCAATACAAATTATTTAAATTTCGTGCCTATGTACATGATTGTAATTAATTTTTGTAATATTCACTTAGTTATTACCCATACATATATATATATACACTATACATACATGCATACCTACATAAATACATACATATAATATTCACTTATTTATTTTTTAAAAATTCAATAAACGACATTTCTTTCCCTGATCTATATTTTCTGGGTTAACTCGTCAAATTTTCTATTGCACATCGTTTCGATCAAAATTACCCTGAAATCATGTATTGGCTTTTAGTTATTTATAAAATATTAACGGCAATTAAGGAATTAGAAAAACCAATTAGGTTTCAAACAGGCAGAAACATTGAAAAAGTAATTAATAATAATAATAATAAATACACAGATAAAACCTTAAAATAATACAGCTTTGAGATAAACAAGAGAATATATCAAAATTCTTTGCTTAAGGTACAAATAAAAAAAAATAAGTGGAGGAACTAATTAGTGGTTAAAGGAACATAATTAGATCCAACCAAGGAGGAACTAAAATTGCTAAAAGAAAAAGGAAAAAAGGCCCATCGGGAGAGCGTCGGGCCCACGACAGCAAATGCAGAGAGAGCGGCGCGTGGGGTTCAAACGACATGCCTCGGCGCGTCGTCTCTCTCCATCAAATAGGAGGGAGAGGACCGGACTCTGTCATGCGCTCTCTCTCTCCGGAGAGTTTCTTCTAACGATGATGGCGTGAGAGTGTTCAATACTTTAAAGAGGAATAGGGAGAGAGAGAGAGAGAGAGAGAGAGAGAGAGAGAGAGAGAGAGAGAGAGAGAGAGAGACATCATAACCAGTCAAGCGAGCTGTTTTTGGGAGGAGAGACAGAGGAATCAGAGGAACAAAGGTGCTGCCTTTTTCTCTCTCTCTATCTGCATTTCCATTTCTTCTGTCTTCACGCTTTTGTAAAAGCTAAAAAGAAAAAGATACCACAACGACGAAGACTAGAGACCCTTTCGCTTTCTTCTTCTTCTTCTTCTTCTTCTTCTTCCTTTTTTGGGCGTATCCGTTTCTGGGTTTGCTTAAAATCGGTATGTTTTTTTTTTGCTTTTTGATGCTTTACAGTGCATTGTAGTTGCATTCTCACAAGCTTCGTCGTATTGTGTCACGTGAATGATGTTAGAAATTTGTATGAAGATAATCTAACATACGCTTTGCTTTGTTTGTGTGTTTTTTTGTTTCTGTCTTTTTTCTGTTTTTTTTTTGCTCGTAATACATTCGATTAGTCATATGTTCGCCTGATCACTCATTCCCATTCTCGGGTTCAATGCATCTCTTTGTTATTCGGCGATCCTCGTTTTCTGTGTCGATCTTTTTTCCGATGAAGTATAGTTAATCCTGCTTCGAATTCAGATCAATTTTATGAAACTAAGCTATTATTGGGTTTCTTTTAGTGCATCTTATGCATTTGTAGGAGCACAAGTGATTTCAAGAACTGATTTCTTGTAAGAATCCGCGGATGCTGTCAGAAAGATTGCTCCTTCCCGCTAATGAGGACTCTTTTATGCATCGTTCTTGTGTATTCTTTTCGATCCGTCTACTGTTGGAGTGAATTGTGTCTTGTTTTGTGGCTAAGCGGATAAAAATCTCCCAAGATGACGAAAGTGTGTCCTGAAATCGAGGAAAGGACAATGTCTGAAGCAATTCTTCCAGTATCAGCGGACGTGAGTTTTGTTTCTAATCATTTTCCGAAGTACAAGTTGGGGTCTGATAATCAGATTGTGGAAGAACCCAAGGAAGACGAAAAGGGCCCGTCTGTGAAGGAAGTCGTCGAGGAGGAGACCGAACAGCTGTCTGAACAGCACAAGCGCCTGTCTGTTCGAGATCTCGCCAGTAAATTCGACAAGAACTTGGCTTCTGCTGTTAATCTGACCGACGAGGTTCCAAACCATTCTCTACTTACATTTGTTCATTCAGGTTTCTAGTTTCCATGAGTGATGCAAAAATGTCTCATCTCTCACTGAAAGCTTTCCTCCTCTGCCTCTTAGTTTCGATTGAAAGATCGGTTCTTTGTTGTCACTTCTTGTGATTTCAGGCAAAGCTGAGAGAGGTGGCTTCTTTGGAGGGACATGTCATGTTGAAGAAACTGAGGGATGCTTTAGAATCTCTGAGAGGCCGAATGGCCGGGCGAAACAAGGAAGATGTGGAGAAAGCCATCTCCATGGTTAGGTTTCTCTACATGGATATCATCTCATCTAAATCACCCTCCTTTGTCAAATACGGCATTCGTCTCTTCATTCACGAGATGCATATACAGTGAAAAGCATGCACCTTTTTCTTGATATGCACCATATGTATTCATTTCTTCATTTGCTGGATCATGGGTATGGATGAAAATGAACGGTCTTTGTCTCGTAGGTCGAGGCTCTGGCCGTCAAGTTGACCCAGAACGAAGGCGAACTGATTCAAGAAAAGTTCGAAGTGAAAAAACTGGCAAACTTCCTCAAGCAGGTCCTTACCAATGCTCTCCTACCCTTATCCGTTGATCTGAAGGAAGCTCATTCGGTTTACTGTCACATGTTTTCAGGCTTCAGAAGATGCAAAGAAGCTGGTAAACCAGGAAAAGTCATTTGCTTGTGCCGAAATCGAAAGTGCGCGGGCCGTTGTTCAGAGGCTCGGAGAGGCCTTTGAGGAACAAGAGCGAAATTCTGAAGCTTCTCGAACTCAGGGACCTGTAAGTATTTTTTCACATTGTCTATTTAGTCAACCGTTCGATATTTGGACATAACATTTAGATTCTAATCAACTTGTGTTTTTTTTAGGATGTGGAGAAACTTGTAGAGGAGGTTCAGGAGGCTAGACGGATCAAAAGGATGCATCAGCCAACCAAGGTGCAAACATAAATTTGTTTCTATATGTAAATACTACTAAGCTTCATGCTTTAAGAAACCACATATATATATATATATGTATGGATATATTGTAAGTTGCATATTCTGTTGTGATACAGGTGATGGATATGCAACATGAGCTTCATGCTTTAAGAAATCAAATCCGAGAAAAGTCTGTTACTTCTGTTAAGCTTCAGAAGGAGGTATCTTTGTGTTCGTACCGCCATATTTCGTTCGATTCTCTGTTCCTCTAACAACGACTTTCTTTGTGGTTATATCACAAACCTTTACAGATTTCAATCGTCAAGAGAGCCGAGGAGTCCAAGTCTCATCCATATGCTCTGGACGGTGCACAAACTCTCGGCTCGTGCTTGAGAATTCGTGCCTGCTCAGATAGTTCTCCAAATCTTTCCAACTGCTCGGTCCAGTGGTACCGTGCCGCATCTGAGACTAGTAGAAGGGAAGCTATATCCGGTATTTGGCATTGCCCGTTTCCTGGACCATTTGGATTTACATTTCTTACCTCAACACTCGTGGGCATATGTTTTGGTACCGAAAGTTATAAACTTGTCGGCTCTGATGCCTCGGGTTTAAATAGATTCAAGTTGATTGATTTCTAATGCTTGAACGGTTTCATATTTCCCTTCTCAGGTGCCAACCAATTGGTATATGCTCCAGAGCCATTTGACGTTAGTCGGGTTCTTCAGGCAGACGTTTGTTTTAACGGGCAGAAAGTCACCTTAACCACTGATGGTCCCATCGATTCTGGTTCGTTTTATCGAAACTGTACCTTTGTGAATCCATGTTCAGTATATATATATATATATATATTGGAGAATAGTGACGGCTCACTGATTGAGCTGCATCTATACAGCTGCTGGATTGCAATCCCACGTCGAGGCACTCATGCGCAAATCTCACAGTGAATTCAACGTATGGGTTGTGACGTTCTTCGAGAATCTTTTTCATTATGTTGTAATCATCTTTTTAAAAGTGTGTACCACTGTCCTCAGGTGGTGATTTCACAGATGAATGGCCAGGACAATGCATCAAGATCGAACCATGTCCTTAGCATCGGAAAGATGAGGATAAAGCTGTGTAGGGGATGGATCACTAAGTCCAGAGAGATATACTCCACCTCCATGCAGGTAGTAATATAGCATCTTCTCCTATCCATCTTTTCTCGATTTGAACTTCCTCGCAAGTTTCGTAATCGTTTTTGTTTTGCGGGTTCAGTTATGTGGGGCGAGAAGCAAGGTTAATGCACCGGCAAAGGCATTGTTATGGCAACCCCGAAAGGGACTGACCTTCGTACTAACCTTCGAGTCGGAGCAAGATCGTAACGCGGCCATAGTCCTCGCCCGGAAATACGCCTTTGATTGCAATGTGAGCAACTGACTATAACCCAACACTTTTTTTTTTTGCTCTCGTCCTCCCTCTTGGAAACACGCTCTTTCTGGGTGAAAAATTCCGACAGCGTTGAGTGTTCACCCTCCATCTGCAGGTCACATTGGTGGGACCAGACGACTGAGCATTGAGATGAAGCCATTGTTATTAACCAGCTGATGTGTTTTTACTATTCTGCCATTTTGTGTGTGAAGTCATCTTCCTTCTTCCCACCATGGCTAAGAGAAGAAGGTGCAAGAGTTTGGCATCTCCACTGATCCTTTGTCCGTTGCTGCATAGTTTTTAGGCAGCGGCCTCTTCTGTTCCCACTTTCGCATGGTTGCCATTTTTTCTTCCTCATTTGATTGGTTTGTTTGATTGTTGTTTCCTCTCTTTTTTTTTCCTTTGTTGTTGTCATCAAGTCAACATTGCTAATCAGCTTCATCAGTGTGAGATTTGAATTCAGATTGTGTGTATTATACTAAGAGACTGTCCTATCCCTCTTTCTTCGTGTGACCCTGCTGAAACTGGAAAATGCATCAACGGGTGAGACTTTAGCTGCTAAATGTCAAAACTTTCAGGGGTAACGGTAAAGGGTAAGGCTGGGCGTTTCGGTTCGGTTCCGAAGAACCGAACCGAACTGTTAAAATGGTATTTTTTCCGATCCGAAACCGTTATTATTTCCCGAACGGTACCATTTTTAGAGAACCGAATTTTTCCGGAACCGAACCGAACTTTAAAAATCCCGAAAAACCAAATATTTTTAAAGGAAATCTAACATTTTTTTTAATAAAACCCGGAACCGAACCGATACCGAAACCGAACCGAATCGAATACAATAAAAAATTCGATTGGTACCTATTTTTGTAAAACCGAAAGAACCGAACCGATCTATTCCGTCCCGAACCCGAACCGTTTCCCGAAACGTCGACCCCTAGTAGAGGGATCATAAAGATTTTTAAAGAAAACAGTGGATGAAAGAAAAGAAGCCATATAAAGTGGGATTATAACATGATTAAACTATTTTTAATCATAAATTTCCAATTAATGTGTATGGGAATCTGTGAAGGAAATAAAAAAAAGCGTCATAGGGCAAAGAATAGCTTTACAGTTCAGAGATTACCCCACAATACATTTATGACTCCGCCCTTAGAGAAGACATCTTCTTCCTCAGCATCAAAGTAAACCCTCCGTCTTCACGTTCACACTTTGTTTTTCAGACCACAATCATAAAGCTGCAACCTTTTGTCTTCACCGTCTCTCTCTCTCTCTTTAATGGGGAAAATGCTTGTGGAAGTCTGTTTGATATCGGCAAGAGGGCTCAGGAGAGGTCCCTCGCTGTTGAAGCACCAGTGGTATGCAGTCGGTTGGTTCGATCCAGACAACAAGTACTGTACCACCATTGATGTTTCAAGAACAGACAACCCTGTCTGGAGAACAAAGTTTTCTGCCTCTCTCGATGATTCCGGCGTTCAAGATTCCACGGCGGCTTTGCATGTCGAAGTTTACAGCAGAGAGCCCATTTTCCTGAGGGAGAAGCTTCAAGGGACGGCGACGGTTGTGTTGAAGGAGTTTCTGGCTAAGTATAGTAATAAGCGGAGGAGTTCTATGAGGTCTGAAGAAGAAGAAGTTGGGAGCTTTCAGTTGAGGAGGAAAAACTCCAACAAGCCTCATGGGTTTGTCGATGTATCCATCCGTATATCTGCAGAAAGAGAAGAGTTTCTTGGTTCATTTACTGGTAATGTAATGTGCAGATATCAAAAACAGGTTTCTTTCTCGGTTGTCTGATGAGATCTAACCCACCCTTCTTCCTCTTCTTCTTCCACAGGAGATGTTGGAGGAATTGTGTTGAACACCAACAGCGACAGCCACCCTGAAATCAAATCATTCACAGAAGGAGCTGCTGGTTCAGGAGAAATCCACCTGAGTGGTCCATCGAAGCCGCCGCCACTGGATCCTGTCATCCATCCGAACAATCGATCAAACGCGTTTCCAGTTCCTCAATATTATCGCCACCCACACCCACCAATGCAATACCCTCCAAGCAACATGAATCCACCAATGCCTCGACCTGGTTACCCTCCTCCACCACCGCCTTCACACGCAGGATACATACCTACGTTCCTCCCAAGATCGGAGAACTTCATCGACATGCCATCATCTTCGTCATCAGGAAGACCAGCAGCAGCAGCAGGACCGGGATATGTTCGGCCAGGACCAGCGTTTGCTGCAGGAGTAGGAGCCGGGGCTTTAGCTGCGGGCGCAGTTATCTTAGGAGACAACTTCATGTCCGGTTTCGATATGCCTTCAACTTTACCTCACGCAAGTCTCACCATTTCAGCCGATCCTCCGTTTTGAAACATTCCTGTTGATACATGGCATGTGAAATTTGTTGACCATTGTAAATTCATCCTCTTTAGCCCGAAAAACAAGTCCCAGATTCAATCCGTCTCTGTTTCGTTAGCTCCTCGAATGGATTTTGCCAGCTTGTATATCAAGTGCAAAAGCTCCAATCTTTTTTTTCCTGACAGCACAAAGAAGAGAAAAAATCATAACATCCATACAAATCGCGCACTTTGGGAAGACGAAGAAGACCCCCGAGGTCGTTCCAGCCAAGAAGATGGAGAATAGGGTCAGAGCCAAGTTCCTTTCCAAGACTCAAGTCTTACTCAGATTCATCAATCTACACAAAGCAATGGTCATGTACATAGAAACTGAAAATCCGTCTTCAGAAACCGGCTACATTCGATCTGACCCATCTCTCCTCCGTTAGCCAAATCAAAGCTGCACCTGTAGACTGTAGAAACTGGAAATCCGGCAAAAAAACATCTTTATCTTTAGGCATGTTCTGTGAAAGAGACGAGAGGAAGAACTACTAGGACCAGCAATAAACGTGGTTTATCTTACCTTCCATTCATGCCGATAATCACAACTGTGCTCAAATGCTGCAAAGAATCGGGTGGCCTCCGGTACAGGTACAGATATGAAATGTGCTCCTCTTATGGCAGAACTTCTGCACGAGTCAAGATTGGTGGATATTTCTTCTCGTTCCTTAAGCAATTCCTCGCCAGTTCGTTCTCCTGCCTACGCAAATTCCCAATTCATACAACTCCACCATTGTATATGAACCAAAAACCATCACAGACAAGTGAAGATCCAGATCGAACAATGAACAACAGAGACGCGAATTGCCAAAATCCTTCACCGATCTTGATTCAAACAAAAACCAAATGAGACGATTCAACAAATTCTCACCGATGGAAAGGAAAAACCGAGAAGAGCAAGATGATACCTAAGGCGAAAAACTGCTTGATCAAATTTCAATGAAGAACATCACGAAAAATTGCTCGATTACGTCCCTATCTTCGCCTCCTAACAATCTTCTTCGAAATTTTCAGTATATATATATACATATCTTTCCCTTCGTTTGTCCAATGGACCCTGTTCAACTCTTGATGGGCTCCTTTACCGAAAACAACTCTTAATGGGCTCAGTATCAAGGGCTTAACTCCGACCCGACCCGACCCGACCCGTTTTGGCTTTTCGATGCGAAACACAATAGCCGAGTATCCATTTCGGTGCTTCGTCCATAGCGGCTCTGATGATGGGAAGACGGCTGTTGTTTCCATGGTATTGAATGTTTTCGTCATGATCCTGTCTTTGCAGCCGGAAATTTGGCTCCTTTGGTCGGAAAGTGATCACTTTTTCGCCGGAGTTTGGTGATTCTGTTCAGTTAGTCCACCGAACAAGGAATATCTATCTCCCTTGTTTGTGTATGTCTGATCGATCTAAAGGTTAAATATGGTGAAGCCGTTGAGTTTTAGAGTAGTTCAGGGACTTGTTCGTCTGCATTGCGGTCGGGTCAACCCGGTCACCGTTTGCCGGTCAAAACCCTCGTCCTCGGCTTATCCATCATTTTCTCCGGCTGTTCCCTCAAATGGGGTTTCTCAGTTCCAGTCACTGTTCAGTTTTCGCACCTTATCCTCGAAACCCACTTCGACTAACGTGGGTTTATCTCAGATTCTATCCTGTCCGAAGCTAGCTGCTCGGGTGCAGCATTGTGGCGCTTCCTTGGTTAAGCCTGGTGTCAATGTGAAATCCTCATCGGCCTTGAGGTTGTTTTCATCTAAGAGCTCTGGAACTGGTCGGAATATCGGTGGGGATTTCGCGAGAAAGGTTGTGGACAAGCCTGTAAATGCTGTTACTTCAACTTTTGCAAGATATCGTGAGGCAATCGGGTTGCACGTTGATGCATTTTGGAAAAAGAATTACCTTTTTCTGTTCGGAGGAGGAGCGGTTGTGGTATCTATTTTTCTGTGGAGGATCATGTTTGGAATTGCCAACACCTTTGTTGGACTCTCGGAAGGAATGGCCAAGTATGGGTTTCTTGCACTTTCCTCCGCCATTGTTGCTTTTTCTGTAAGTTCCGGCACGCTCTTTGCTGTGCAATTATCTTTTATACTGATAATAACTTTGTGCATTTATACTGATGGTGTTTAGTTTGTCAATACAATGTGTTCTTTCTGGTGATGAACTCATGGTATTTGGCCATCTCAATGTTATGAAATTCAGCTTGATGATAATGACAAGGAGGAGTTGTTTCCTGATTGTTAGTCAATGTACCCTTATGTGATCTCCTATGAGATACAGGAAAAGAAAAATGAAATGTAGGTTTTCGGTTCTTCCTTCAGTGTCATGTTGTGCCTCTGAAATGCCATCTAAACTGTGTTCATAGTTATTCCAAAGTTATTCATTTGCTGTATATCTGTGAGGAGCCCATTCCTTAACCACTATCCGGGATTTGTTGTAATAAACAGGGCTTATATATCCGCTCGAGGTTCACAATAAATCCCGACAAGGTTTACAGAATGACCATGAGAAAGCTCAATACAGCAGCAGGTATTCTTGAAGTAATGGGCGCTCCTCTGTCAGGGTCAGATTTACGGGCTTATGTGATGTCGGGTGGTGGCATAACATTCAAGAACTTCAAGCCAACTATTAGGAGCAAACGCTGTTTTCTCATTTTCCCGATTCGGGGTTCTGAGAGAAAAGGCCTTGTCAGTGTAGGAGTCAGGAAAAAGAAAGGCCAGGTTTTCTTCTCAAACTCTCTCCTCCCCACCCTGACTGCCATTTCCATATCCTTTTTCCTATGAGCAGAGTATCAGAATAGCATTATCTTGTTTGAGATTATGATTAAGGAAATGGTCTAAGAATGGTGTTCCAACAAAAACTCAAGTAGGTAATGAGTGAACATCAATCAGCCTTCAGGCTTGTGATTTATGGTCTGGTCTGGCTTCTATTTCTCATATGAAGGATAACACCCTGTAAGCAATTATGGGCCTTCAATGTGGACTTCTTGTTCGATTCTAATGTTCATTCACGTGCATGTGCTTCTTCAGTATGACATGAAACTGCTGGCTGTGGATATTCCAATGGCGTCTGGTCCTGACCAACGGTTATTCCTCGTCGGGGACGAAGAAGAATACAGAGTCGGTGGTGGGTTAATCTCTGAGCTAAGAGACCCTGTGGTGAAGGCCATGGCAGCCACCAAGGAGTTTGATAATCTTGACCAGATTGAAGAGGAGGAAGATGCTGAAAGAGAACTTCAAGAAGCTGAAAGAAAGCACCGTCAAGAACTGGAGGAGCTCGAGAAAGATGCTTCCTAGTCACTGATTTCCTTCCTCGTTCACTGTCTTTTTTTTCCCCTTCTGTCAGGAAAAGTTGAAAAGAAAATGGGGTTTTATTACCAAAAAATAAATAAAAAATAAAAATAAGGACTAATTATTCTGGATCTCCAAAGTTGACTTTCCAAAGGGCAAAGCCCTCAGATTTGTCTGCAGCAGCAATCAATGGCATGTAACCGTCAAACTTGGGGCTTCGAGATATTTTATTTAACACATATATTTAACATTTTCATATTCTTTGATCAAGTCATAACCCACTTTATATATTTCAATCAAGTCTACGATTCGTTAACCATCTCCATTGACCAACCTCTACGTTTGCCTTCTCGAATAAGATCTTACCTCTTCTTCTTCCTCTTGCTTGAAGACAATCACCGAAACCAGAATCCTCGGACATGAAGCAGAAGAAGAACCAGAGCAGATCCTTGAACCCCTATTCCATGCAAACCCATGATGAATCCGCCTCTTCACCCTCACCAAGATTTCTCTCTCTTCTTCGTTCCAAGGTATCTTCTTTTTCCTTTTTCCCTTGTCCGCGTCTCTTGCATGTGAATTCACTGATCGGGACAATTATGTTCGAGCACAGATCCTTAGCACATATGACTTGGGTTTTTACCTTTCATGCTCTGTTCTGTCAAATGTTGCAGCTTTCTGGTGGTAGGGAACTTAAGCTTATGTTCAGAAACATAGGGAGGAAGAAGACAAACAACCGAACTACTCAAGCTAGACTTGTGAGATGTCCCAAGTGTCAGAAGATTCTCCAGGAGCCTGAAGATTCTCCTCTTTATCGATGCAGTAGATGCGACTCGGTTCTTCAAGGTGTGTATATATATAAGCCATACAAGTGTACATATCGTCACTATCTGTAATGATTCCAAGTAGTCATGATGCTTAACGTCTTTCCTCCAATGACAAACCTCTCTTTTTTGGTGCAGCAAAACATTGGACATCAAAAGGGGAAGTTGCCCAGATCAGCCATAACTCTGTCCAAGAAGCTATTCTTCTTTCTGCTGCTGAAGAATCTGAATCTGAAGATGTCGGTTCTCTGGCAAGTAGTAGTAAGTATTCAGTAAAGAAGACTCACCACCATGTTGTGTATGACACAGCTGCATCATCTTCTGGTGCGAGGAGTTATGATTCCGAAACTGCTTACAAGCATGACAAGTCTGATGATGTTCTCGAAGAATGGCTAAGACGGGACAAATTCCGTCAGAATGGTGATTCTGTTATGCGTGTTTCAGGCAGAAACTCTCCATATAGTGTAGGCAGAAGCGTGGAAACTGGAGACTGGATCCAAAAAGGGCAATACGAGAGTTCTCCTCGGAATCCCTTCTATCCAACGAGCCCGTCCCCTTCTTCTGCATATGAATGTGCCAGTCCTTTCCATGCATCTTACGTTTCTGCAGCCGAGCAGAGTTATAATCATCAACAGAACCGTTTCAGGCAATATCAAAGAGGCGGATGGTCAGGAGAGAGTTCTGGTGCCTCATCGATCCATTTCTCCCGGGATACGACAGATGCAAGGCACTACCAGTGGTCTGGACAATCATCACCAATGCGAGATTTTCAGTACCAAGGATTTCCAGGCCAGGGTTTCTACGATCATAGCAGCTCTTGCACGGCAACTCCACATCGTTCCGCACAATCTGAGCATTCTTATCCTGCATGGAGTTCAAAGATTGAGTCATATAGCCAAAAGGGTACTTGCAGGGACATAAATGATTATGTTAAAGAGAGGAATCATGTGGTCAAGCATCATGTTCTTCCTGCTGCAGGAGGTGCACCTTTTGTAACTTGTTACTATTGCTTACAACTTCTGCAGCTGTCTGAGGGGTTTCTTCAAGGCAAGAGGAATAGATATCTGGTGAGATGTGGCGGCTGTTCTGGGTTGCTTAAGTTCTCTCCTAAAGAAAAAGCACCTACAGTCCCATATACTCCCAGAGTGTTGGATTCAGACCCGAGTCTTGGTGATGATCATGTTAGTAATCATCAGGAAGACCAGGAGGATTCAGCTTCGGTAGATCATGACGAGTGTTGTCCTGATGAGGGTCCATTGTCATGTCCAAACAATGATTGTGGAGGAGATTTTGTCTGTAAAAGCAGCTTGCGTCCCGAAAGAAAAAACAGAAGCTTTTACCTACCTCGATGAGATTAGAACCTCTGAGAGACACGACCTGGGCGATGCTGTGACCTTCCTCGAGCGTCAGGGTCTGCTCCTGCGTTGCCTTTTTAAGATTCTTCCTTCCTATCTACGAGCCAGGCACGAAGGACAAAAACAGACGAAGATCGAGATTAGGGTTTTGTAGTCGTTGTGTCCAAGCACACACGAGTTTCCCACGAGTATGTATACGTTATGTCTCTTTCCTCACAGGGGTAATTTTGTACTTTACTCGAGATGTCGTTGGCATTTTCGTAATTCGCTTGATCTTTTTAACGTCCGTTACCGTGAACAAAACGTATCCCCTTACTTCAGGTTTTTACTAGGGCAGACGGCGGCCTGGATGTCCGTCGATTGGTAACGGAGCCTTGGCCTTGGAAACTTGGACATCGCTCCTCCTCTCATTCTCTCTCTCGTTCGCTGTCAGATCGAATCGACACCAAGATCCTTAAAACCAAGTGACCATAATCAACGAGACGAGTCTTTGCCTTCGGGTCGTCGAATAACTACGCAAAGAACACCTAACCACTTCTCGTTTTCGCATCTCATGCCGTCCTTTGTCTAGACACCCGAACAACGTGCCGTTGCGACAGCCTTCTCTCCGGTGTAGAGGAGGATGAAAATGAAACCAAGTCGATAAAAGCAGTTGAAGTATCCAAACTTTATCTTGGGGAACAACTTCAACAAGAGGAGGAAACAGTACATGAAATGCTGTTTCATTTGGATCTGTCTCAAGACAAGCTTGAGCAAACCCTCGAATCGGGTGAATCTGAAGAAGATAGATCATCTTGCAGTTCAGATGCCAACGAATGTTCAAGTAGAACGATAAAACTCGACAGTGAGACTGCAGAGAACAAGCCAGGAGATCACTCAGAGGAAATGCAAGATGAGGATGACAAGAAGGGACTAACCTTCGAACCATATGCTCATATCTGCAGCACAATGGGTCCATCCGAAATTGTGGGCTTGCGTCATGCACTGTACACAACGCCAAGTTCACCTCTACGGTCACCTCTCACCTCACCAATTCATACCCCGGTTGGTTCCCCACGCTTTTATCCACTGGGTTCCCCAGTGCATTCTCCAATGGCTTCACCACTGCATCCCCATATGCTTTCTCCGCTCCGTTCGCCAATCAACTCATCGCCATCTCTCTCAGACGTGCTGTTCTTCGGCAAAAACGGTTAACAAGGAAGAAATGTCTGATATGTAGATGCTATTACAAGGTTTAGTCAAGAAGCTTTGCTCGACCTGACCGCATATTTCAAGACATTATCTGCAAATCATCTTTCCATTGTTTTGTTTTGTATGTAAATGAGAATTTGCAAGTTTTCCAGTGGGTAAAAAATCAATCTTTTTGATAAATAAAATGCTTTTTCAGCGGCTGTGTTGGGTACCAATCGTTTGCAATTAGTACAGCTTGAAAAATCTCAAGAGAGCACTAAGAGATCTTTACTTGCGTTTCTACGAATCTGACTCGGACCCTGAATCTGTTTCTGCTTCCAAATGCACCCCAAATGGCTTCATCCTGTTTGTGTTGGCCTCCAATGGCGGTAAGCCATCATCGTCATCACTCGTATCAATCTCTCCATTCTCTTCTTGCTCAGTGGTCTGTCTTTGAGAGTTTTCATCAGCTTCCTTTGACTTTGTTTCTCTGAAGATTTCTGGCCTGCGTGTGTATTAGACAACAGAAGAGGCATAGGATGAAACGAGATATCATTCACATACACACAAAAAACATAAGAAGAGAAATGGTGGAAGCTCTACCATTCCGGAGACTTTCGAAGAGCACGAACTTGCTCATAGAATAGAACTCGACAGACAATACATGCAACTTTGCTACCAGACTCAAGAGCCTTCTCCTTTCCCGTTTGATCTACGACCACAAAACTTCCTGCCAATCAATGTCACACCATTAACTTTTTCGCAAATTCCGTCGGAAAGAAACCAGAAATCAGTACATTGAAGTCAAAGATCCAACGGGACGTCTCGTATTTTCAGAAGGAAAACTATTTTACGTGGGGGAATTGGAGGAAACCATGTAAAAGAAGCTGGTAAGAACACAAAATCACCCAAAAAAACAGTACACACAAAATCCAAATTATACGAAACCAGAAAAAGCTGGTCTTGAACAAGGCAAGGAGGGGGCATAACACAAAATCATCGAATAGGAATCATAAATAAATCCTCTTTCTGTTTTGTTTTGTGAAAGTTACAGCGAAGGGTGCTTGAAACGTGCCTCGTTTAATCCACATGCTCTTCTGAAATTTTGCTGGAAACAATGCTAATGATTTCTCTCCTTTAACATCCATTACCTTCAAAGAGACAAGAGCACGCAATTGTTAGAAACAATGGACAGAGAACTACAATGGCAAATCGACCGCACAACGAACTCTTATGACGCCATCTGTATTGGACTACTACTTGCGAGATCCAATATATTCAAAGAAATTCCGGAACTTTCAGTTGATAATTAATTTTAACTGAACAAGAAGTAAAAAAAAAAATTCAATCTTTATACAGAGCTATAAAGGTGACTAACCCACTTAGATCAAAGAAAAAACATATAGAGAAAATCCCGAAAGAAAAAACAGAAGCTTTTACCTACCTCGATGAGATTAGAACCTCTGAGAGACACGACCTGGGCGATGCTGTGACCTTCCTCGAGCGTCAGGGTCTGCTCCTGCGTTGCCTTTTTAAGATTCTTCCTTCCTATCTACGAGCCAGGCACGAAGGACAAAAACAGACGAAGATCGAGATTAGGGTTTTGTAGTCGTTGTGTCCAAGCACACACGAGTTTCCCACGAGTATGTATACGTTATGTCTCTTTCCTCACAGGGGTAATTTTGTACTTTACTCGAGATGTCGTTGGCATTTTCGTAATTCGCTTGATCTTTTTAACGTCCGTTACCGTGAACAAAACGTATCCCCTTACTTCAGGTTTTTACTAGGGCAGACGGCGGCCTGGATGTCCGTCGATTGGTAACGGAGCCTTGGCCTTGGAAACTTGGACATCGCTCCTCCTCTCATTCTCTCTCTCGTTCGCTGACTGTTTGAACCAGAGGAGGCTAACGAAGACAGAATAGAAATCTGTCTCGGGGGATCCCTCAATGATCATAAAGATTCAAATGAAGCACTTGAACCTGATGATTACGCGGAAGAGAGAGTTGTGTCTCATTTGGAGGATGTCCCAGAGGAGGATGAAAATGAAACCAAGTCGATAAAAGCAGTTGAAGTATCCAAACTTTATCTTGGGGAACAACTTCAACAAGAGGAGGAAACAGTACATGAAATGCTGTTTCATTTGGATCTGTCTCAAGACAAGCTTGAGCAAACCCTCGAATCGGGTGAATCTGAAGAAGATAGATCATCTTGCAGTTCAGATGCCAACGAATGTTCAAGTAGAACGATAAAACTCGACAGTGAGACTGCAGAGAACAAGCCAGGAGATCACTCAGAGGAAATGCAAGATGAGGATGACAAGAAGGGACTAACCTTCGAACCATATGCTCATATCTGCAGCACAATGGGTCCATCCGAAATTGTGGGCTTGCGTCATGCACTGTACACAACGCCAAGTTCACCTCTACGGTCACCTCTCACCTCACCAATTCATACCCCGGTTGGTTCCCCACGCTTTTATCCACTGGGTTCCCCAGTGCATTCTCCAATGGCTTCACCACTGCATCCCCATATGCTTTCTCCGCTCCGTTCGCCAATCAACTCATCGCCATCTCTCTCAGACGTGCTGTTCTTCGGCAAAAACGGTTAACAAGGAAGAAATGTCTGATATGTAGATGCTATTACAAGGTTTAGTCAAGAAGCTTTGCTCGACCTGACCGCATATTTCAAGACATTATCTGCAAATCATCTTTCCATTGTTTTGTTTTGTATGTAAATGAGAATTTGCAAGTTTTCCAGTGGGTAAAAAATCAATCTTTTTGATAAATAAAATGCTTTTTCAGCGGCTGTGTTGGGTACCAATCGTTTGCAATTAGTACAGCTTGAAAAATCTCAAGAGAGCACTAAGAGATCTTTACTTGCGTTTCTACGAATCTGACTCGGACCCTGAATCTGTTTCTGCTTCCAAATGCACCCCAAATGGCTTCATCCTGTTTGTGTTGGCCTCCAATGGCGGTAAGCCATCATCGTCATCACTCGTATCAATCTCTCCATTCTCTTCTTGCTCAGTGGTCTGTCTTTGAGAGTTTTCATCAGCTTCCTTTGACTTTGTTTCTCTGAAGATTTCTGGCCTGCGTGTGTATTAGACAACAGAAGAGGCATAGGATGAAACGAGATATCATTCACATACACACAAAAAACATAAGAAGAGAAATGGTGGAAGCTCTACCATTCCGGAGACTTTCGAAGAGCACGAACTTGCTCATAGAATAGAACTCGACAGACAATACATGCAACTTTGCTACCAGACTCAAGAGCCTTCTCCTTTCCCGTTTGATCTACGACCACAAAACTTCCTGCCAATCAATGTCACACCATTAACTTTTTCGCAAATTCCGTCGGAAAGAAACCAGAAATCAGTACATTGAAGTCAAAGATCCAACGGGACGTCTCGTATTTTCAGAAGGAAAACTATTTTACGTGGGGGAATTGGAGGAAACCATGTAAAAGAAGCTGGTAAGAACACAAAATCACCCAAAAAAACAGTACACACAAAATCCAAATTATACGAAACCAGAAAAAGCTGGTCTTGAACAAGGCAAGGAGGGGGCATAACACAAAATCATCGAATAGGAATCATAAATAAATCCTCTTTCTGTTTTGTTTTGTGAAAGTTACAGCGAAGGGTGCTTGAAACGTGCCTCGTTTAATCCACATGCTCTTCTGAAATTTTGCTGGAAACAATGCTAATGATTTCTCTCCTTTAACATCCATTACCTTCAAAGAGACAAGAGCACGCAATTGTTAGAAACAATGGACAGAGAACTACAATGGCAAATCGACCGCACAACGAACTCTTATGACGCCATCTGTATTGGACTACTACTTGCGAGATCCAATATATTCAAAGAAATTCCGGAACTTTCAGTTGATAATTAATTTTAACTGAACAAGAAGTAAAAAAAAAAATTCAATCTTTATACAGAGCTATAAAGGTGACTAACCCACTTAGATCAAAGAAAAAACATATAGAGAAAATCCCGAAAGAAAAAACAGAAGCTTTTACCTACCTCGATGAGATTAGAACCTCTGAGAGACACGACCTGGGCGATGCTGTGACCTTCCTCGAGCGTCAGGGTCTGCTCCTGCGTTGCCTTTTTAAGATTCTTCCTTCCTATCTACGAGCCAGGCACGAAGGACAAAAACAGACGAAGATCGAGATTAGGGTTTTGTAGTCGTTGTGTCCAAGCACACACGAGTTTCCCACGAGTATGTATACGTTATGTCTCTTTCCTCACAGGGGTAATTTTGTACTTTACTCGAGATGTCGTTGGCATTTTCGTAATTCGCTTGATCTTTTTAACGTCCGTTACCGTGAACAAAACGTATCCCCTTACTTCAGGTTTTTACTAGGGCAGACGGCGGCCTGGATGTCCGTCGATTGGTAACGGAGCCTTGGCCTTGGAAACTTGGACATCGCTCCTCCTCTCATTCTCTCTCTCGTTCGCTGTCAGATCGAATCGACACCAAGATCCTTAAAACCAAGTGACCATAATCAACGAGACGAGTCTTTGCCTTCGGGTCGTCGAATAACTACGCAAAGAACACCTAACCACTTCTCGTTTTCGCATCTCATGCCGTCCTTTGTCTAGACACCCGAACAACGTGCCGTTGCGACAGCCTTCTCTCCGGTGTAAATAGTGAAGTTTAAACATTAGTGGCTACCTATTTTGATGTATTCTGATAAATTTAAGATCCCAAAATCTAGAATAAGTAGAAGTTGAAGATTACCTGCAGATCACTTGTAAACTCCTCCACAGAACTATGGTATCTGGCATGAGAAGTTACAAACACAGAGAGCAGTGCCTCAAAGAACAACTTAAAAGGCTTTCAAATCTCCTCCAAAGATTCAAGCTTTTTCCAATAAAATGCCATCTAACTCGAAGCAGAAATCTTCGCACTATCTGGTTTAGTGACAGGTCGCTGACCATTATCAGGGCCACCAATGAATGACTCCCCAGGTCTCGAAACACGCTGGTGAAACTCGACTTAATGGTGAAAAACTATGGCACCTACACCATTTTTCTCATGTTTCTGGTCAGGATGATGACATAGTCAGTGAGGTAATAACCAGAGGCACGTGTATTGCTCGTTCAAAACACAATTAAGGCGTCCTAAACCCATAAATCACCAGCTTATAAGGTCAAATATAACACACTATTCAACCAGAAAAGATGTAATTAAACTTTCATTACCAGATTGATTCACAAAGCCTCCGGTTTTGGCTTTTCCGGCTACGTAATCGAGTTGCAGACAAAAGCATCACAGAACACTGAGCCGAAAATCGCTAGATTTGTTTGAACTAACGAAATAGCATACCAGTTCCTCGCACAGCTCCTTCAATGGCCTCCTCAAATCAGCATGGTCAGGAAAATTAGCGAACTTGTAGAAGGAGACAACCTCAAGCGAACCCAAATCCGATTCCCCGGATTCTACCTTACCCCGATTTCCATCGGTACTGAGTGAGAATTCCCGGAAGAACACTCAGCAGACACCGTCACGCTATGTCGGAAAGCTCCAGAGATCGAAAATGCGACCGTGGGTTTCGGGCAGAAACAGGGAGAGCAAGCGAGATTCCGGGTTTGAGATACGGGGAAAGCGGAGTCCGATTTTGAGTTCGCTGATAATCGAGCTAGGGTTCCGGCCGACGGAACTGGAGGATTGTGAAGGCGACGATGAGACCATCCGGACGGCGAGGGACGGCGGGAATTTCCTCCGATAACACCTTAGAATTGTCTCCAAACCATGGGCTGAGACCGTGGGCCTTTCGGTACAAGTCAGAAGACCGTGGGCCTTTCCGTACAAGTCGGGGTTATCTTCGTAAGTTACGATTTTACCCTTTGCCACGTGGCGGAAAGCGACTGTCCTTAATTTGATTTTCTCGTTAATTTGTGATACGAGATGGACCGTCATTTTTTTCCAAGGTTTGATATTTTGAAACGGAATATTTATATATGATAATCCCTCTGCCTAACCAACCCAAACCAAACTGTGGTATTAATATTTTTTTGGTACGAAATGATTTGATGTTTGAAAATGAATATTAATAATCATCTATAGGGCACGCTAACAATGTTTTTGATAATTTAATAATTTCCAAATTACTTGTTTGACTAGTCAAGTAAGTAATAAAAAGTTCAACCATATACCTCGTTAGTCATTACATTTCATGAAATGGATAAAAAAATGAATTGGGATGGAACCCTAATAAAATCGAATTAAACCGAAACATACACCAAATAATGAATGGATATATAGTCTCTCTTAAATAAACGAATCAAAATTAGAAACGGTCCAACCAAATATCAAAATATTTTATCTCTGATTATTATAAATCTTTATAATAAAAAATCAAAAATAAAAAGCAACGGAGACCGAATTTTGTTAGGTAATGTTCTAGAAACCCGAGTGATTTATTCAACTGAATGGATTGGAAAGTAGAGAATATGTGTTCTCACACGAGGAGACCATGTGAGCTATGATCCAAGCAGTTCCGTTTTGCCTCAATTATTGACTTTTCGAGTTATTACCTTTTTTTTTTCCAAGTAACGCATTTCCATTTATTGTCTTTATTCTTGGAATGTTGTCTCATTTAAATTTCCTTTTTCCAATAGGTGGTAATCATTTTATGTGAATTTCCTCTCACTTTCCTTTTTACATATATATACATATATATGTAAGTAAATTTTACATATTTTTTTTATAACGTGTTAATCCGTAACCCCATTTTCGTATTATAATCTGGAAATCACGTGAGAGACGTAAATCAGTGTAGATTGCAAATGAGTGATAGATGAAGAGGTTTAAGAGCTAGCATTCGAACACTAAATTTTATATATTTTTTCTACTAAGTTTGTACATATGTATGCATGTACGTACAATATGTAAGTAATGATTATTTAGATTCAATTATATGACACTGGATTATGAAAAGGAAAACCCATTAACCGCCGCAGAAAACGACCGTAAGGGTAGGGAACTAAGAAAAATATGGTGGCAAGATGATCATGTTGGCTTGATCTATATGATATAAAGTGACATATATGATGGATTAATTCAACTATTTGTTACGATGCTTATCCGATATGGACTATATTATATTATATTATATTATATATACATATAGATTAAGCAATATATAGTTCAACCATGCATTTTTATTTTGTGCAAATTGGTTTCGTATTTAATAAATAACATGGCCCAACTAGATAATGTTGCACTTACATTATATATACACACAAATAATATATGATCACATCAACAAAAACATATTCAAATCCATGACAGATCATCTTCAAGTATATTTTAAATTGATTAGAAGCAGAAGTTCATTCTTGATCGAGTCTGCTTTTATTAAATATTTTTTAGACAACTCATCTTAAAATAAATTAAAATTCTTTAATATTTTCTGGACTTCTTTCGATACATTGACCTCCTCTGTCATCATCCACGGAAATAAAAACAATATTTTATTTTTTCTTTTGTACTAAATAATATTTAAATTTAATTTATTTTTTTAATGGTGTTGGACATTTGATATATATATATATATATATATATATATGTATATATATATACACACACTTCTCCGGAAAATTAGCGTACAATTATTATACGTAGCACAAAAAACCGTTTGCTCTTTGCTCTTGTCGGCTGTCATGGAGTTACCCTTCTTAAAAGTTAAAAGTATAAATTAATGATTCAACACACACACATATATATATATATATATATATATAATCATTTCTTGTTTTTCTTAGTAAAATTATAAACTTATGGAAAAATAATATGTAAATTGTTTTTCACACACACACAAAAAAAAGTTTATTTATGTTGTGAAATTTTCTTTGTTAGAAAAAATCAAACAAAAATTGAAAATGATTTATTTTTTTCAAATAAAAAATATTTATTAAATTAAAAATAAACTGTGTGGCTGTATTTAGTCACAAAAAAATAGTATCGTTCGTCCATTCATAGAAGAATCGTACAATAATAATATCATCATATTATCTCACAAAAAAAAAACAAAGAAAACATCGCAAACACAACGACAAGACGAATTTCATCCTCACAAAAAAATTGCAATATTTATCCAAATTATTTAAAAACAACTCTCGTAAATAAAGATGATGTCATTCATCATACGTCAGCTTTCCTCTCCTAAGCAATTGGGTTTCATCCGTGCCCTCACCCCCACACCCCCAACTCATTTATTAGTCCTGGTCAAATTATATATATACATATATATACGGCAAATAGAAATGTTTTACTTATATTATATCGAATATTTTGCTCGTTTGGATGTGTATGTATATGAGACTATATATATATAATTTTTAAAGATATTTTATCAATATGTATATATTTTTTTGTTTTTTAATAGTATGTAATGATACATATGGAACATAAATATCTAAATTTTTAAATATTTACTTTGGAAAATAAATAAAATTTATTATGTACTGGGATATGAATTAAATTAGGATACCTAAAAGTTTTTTTTTAAAGATGCACGAATCTTAGCATAACCCTATCATTTGTACGAATTTCCATTTCTACCCTTCCTGCTCTCCTCCCTCTCTTTCCCCCTCCTCCCCCCAACTATCTCTTCTTCTTTTGTCTGTGTCTGAACCAATAATCGAAGAACCCGACCAAAAAAAAAATCTCATTATTTTTTTTTCTCCCACCTCCCCACTATATCATACACTTTCACCTTAAGCATTTCGACTCTGAGATCATCAAAACGCACCAATAAAGGCAAAACCCAACTCCCTTTGTTTCATTATGGATATTAAAGCCGTAAAGGGAAAAGTTGTCGAGCAACTTGTTCAAGGCTACGAGTTCGCCACTCAGCTTCAGCTTCTCCTCTCTGAGCCCTTTGGCGATCACGATCCACACGGCACGACCCGGATCTTATCCGGGTCCGGGTCGAGTCCCGGTCACGTTGACGAGCTCGTGGCCAAGATCTTGGGTTCTTTCGACGAGACCATCTCCGTTTTGGGGTCTTTCGAGCCTGTCTCCGCCGCTGTTCCCGTGGATGGTTCCCGTAATGCTTCTTCCGGTGAATCTCCGGCGTTAGAGGCGGCGGTTTACGATGGACGGTGTGAGGATTCCGGCCATGGTAGGAAGAGGCTTTTGGGTGTTAACAAGGGCAAGAGAGGATGCTACAAGAGAAAGTATGTTCATCCACTCTCTCTTACTTCTTGATCTTTTCCGAATTATGTTTCTTTGAGATCTAGCTTGAGGATTGTCCATGAAAATTTCGTGGATCCACTTTTCTGCCTTTTTTTTAGTGGATTTCCGCAATTGTTTGATGGAGCCTTAATTCGCACAAGTTGCGTTTGTACCATCGGATTGACGGCTATATTGAAATGACGCATCAAAAAGGGGTTATAGGGGTATGGATCGGTTCCTAAACAGTGACAGAACCCTCTTTTTTCCATGACATTATACATACATATATGTTCTTGAAAATAAATAATACATTTAAAGGGAACAACATTCGATTCAGGTTTCACTGGAACACATGGGATCTTGTTTACATATTTGAGTTGAGATGTGTGACAACCCCAAGTTGAGTTCAGACACCAGATCTACTTTTAGAAACCTAACCATATATGTAAATGGTCTCGCGGGTCAACGCACGCATGATAATGTATCCATTTGAACAAGAGCCAAATCGCCCTAGAGATCATTTCACACATTGGGGTTTTCTTCTTTGTTCGCATTCTTGATTTGCTTGCTGGAATCGTACGTGGCAGCTAAAATTTAGCCTTTTACGTTTGATTGTATGAATCGCAGAAGGAAATCGCAGTCATGGACACTGGAGTCCAACACACTCGAAGACACCCATGCTTGGAGAAAATATGGACAGAAGGAGATTCTCAATGCGAAATACCCAAGGTCTTTAATCTGTACATCTGTATATATGTGTATATATGTAGATGCGATGTATAGATATTCTATATATACGCACACAATATGAGAGAAAAAGGCTATATATATATATATAAATATGGGTATATATTGACAATAGATTTTGTTGCTTGATGTTGCAGAAATTACTTCAGGTGCACACACAAGTACACACAAGGGTGCGGGGCTATAAAGCAAGTCCAGAAACTGGAACACGACCCGCTTACGTTCCAAATCACATACATTGGCAACCACACGTGTAACCACAACGAAGAAATCCTTACGAAACTGGAACCTTCCGAGATCATCGTGGATTCAGACATTGAGCAAATTAGTCAGGTTAAACAAGACGAGAGCAGTAGTGTGTCTGCAAAGGAGGACGAGATGAAGAACGCTGATGAGTACACGACCTGTCCAACGGGGGATTTGTCGTTGGTTTGGCAAGAATTCATGGCGTTCGATGAACCCGAGATCCCGTATTGTTTCGGGGAGACGTGTGATTCTCGTGGCGTGGACAAGGACACGGACTTGATGATGGTCTTCGGAAGCCGAGGTTTCGCCTTTGGCGAGAACGAGCAGCCTTCCTTCTCCGATGCATATTGCGTATAGGTAACTAAACTAGGAATTCGTCTTAGTGTATCTCTATGCCGTATATATATATATGCTTATAGTGTGTTCAGCCTCTTGGAATCCATTCGATGATGGTTGTGTAGTGGCATATATATATATATATATATATATATATAATATGCCGTATTCATGAGAGTAGTTAAAAAACTTTGTTTGTTATTCAATAAAAACACCATCTCTCTCTCTCTCTCTGCAGCTCCGGTCTTTGTATTTGATTGTGCATGGAATGAATGATGAACGTATATTAACATTAGGAAAAGATCTACGTACGAGAGCATCGTATAGAGTCCTTTCGGGTGTATGATTTGCAAATTTTTAAAAAAAAATCTTAAGGGTATAGAGTTTTATCCATAAACAGATATACAGTTATAGTGGTCATGAATGTTTTGCAAAAAACAATAATGAGGAAATATCGGACAAAGCACAGAGACATTATTGCAAGTTGATTTTGTTGCTTTGTCGTTGTTTGGTGCTAAGGTACAATGGTCGCCTTGCCCATCAGGGCAAACTTCAACTCTCTTAATCATTACATACTGACAATCTCAATCGAATTCACTGAATCACCGTTTCGGTCTCTAAAATTTTCATGCACATTTACGTTGGTACCAATTTTTTTAAAAAAAAATATATATAAGAAAATATCTCTGATATTTTTCGTATACGATTCGTACGGAAAACTACAAAAATAAAATAATGCACATAATTATTGCCAAGTAGAGAACTCCCTCTTGGAGCTCAGACACAGAATCTTGTTACTACGATTCCTTGGATTGCGAAACCATTGATAGGAAAATGACAGAAAAAAAATGGCCAAAAGTTTTGTGACAATTAGTAACGCACGAACGATTAAAATAATTAAATCAATTCATCATTTTCTTTGCCTGATTTAATATATAGAAAGTAAAGCTCTGACCAATCTTTCGTAATTTAGAATAATTAAATCAATAATATCTACTCTGCAAAATTAATATCGACCGTATCAGAACCCGTCCTTTCTCTCCGGTGAGTCGCGGCGGAGGTGGTACTCGTGGCCTCGGACAGGGAAGACGAAATCCATGTCGCCGGCGCTACTGCTGCCGCGGGAGAAGTCGAACATTGCGTTGGCCATGTCGGCCACCTCGGCGACGTAAGGGACGGCGGCGGATGTTGACGTGGCGGCGGCGGCAGAGGAGGAAACGGGAGCAGTGGGGGACACGTGGCAAGTGTGTGAGCCACGGTACGTGACTCGGAACGTGAACGGGTCGTCGTCGAGTCGTTGAACTTGCTTCTTCGCCGGACAGTTGTATAGTTTCTGATGAGTGCATCTGTAATATGCCCTGAAACATCACATTCATTCGTACGTAAAGTTAATTGATTACAGGATGTAAAACAATTTAATATTTGGATGTGAAAACGGGTGTGTTTGGTTCATGATATGGTATTAATTACTACATATACATGTATATACGTACGCATGCAAAACAAGAATACGGGCACGTAATTTATACCGAGGGAACCTGGAACCGAGAATTTCTTTTTGGCCGTATTTACGCCACGTGTAGTTGTCGTCCGGTGGCACCTCCGTATTCCCCATCCTCGGAGCTGCCACAAGCACCGTTTGTTGAATCCCCTCCTCCTTACTCCTACACATACATACGTATATATGTATTTGTATCAACATGAAATCATGCACATATATATATTATGTGTGTGTATGTGTATGTGATATTCGTTATTTCGTGTGAGTTCATACACAACATTTAACAATATTAATTCCCGGCCCAAACAGCAGCATAATTCAATACACCAGAAGAGTTCGAAATGTTTTTACCTTGTATATGCTAGATATCAACCTTATTAAATCATGATATGAACATTCTTAAAATGAATAGGACTATGATCATTGTTATAAGGTTTTGACATGGCCATTTTGATAGATTTATAGAATTACCATTCTAGTTAAAAAATATATATATAACACTCAAATATATTATTTACAATAGCAACTTTAATTATATATATACACATTTATAATTACCTTCGCCGCGGCCTCGGCGTGGAGGAACCGCTACCGCCGGCGGAATCCGTACGCTCGCCGGGCCGCAGTTGTCCGGAGCCCTCAGCCTCTGCCGCCGCCGGAGTGTTTCCTCGGCCGGTAGCTGCCATCAGGTGCGTCTGCGTGTGAATCACGGCGTCGATGCCCTGAGACACACCGGGCCTTAACCAGTACTCATGCATCAAACCACCGGAATCCATGTGGAGCAACACCTGGTCCGAACCAGAGAAAACCGGCGTCAGCGGTTC